ATTTATCTCCTTGTTAAGGTTTCTGTGAGGCAAAAGAAAACATCTTTATATTTAAGAAACTTGGTAAAATACACAAAGTTTTACGCATTTTGTCACACAACTGATAAATTTTATTTTGAACTTGGCTCAGCTAAGTGAAACAGGAAGTGACATGAAAGGGGAACTCTAAGAAAAGGAGCTTCCTGGTCTTTGTTCAGTGACACAATATTTAAACTAACTTTTCATCCCTCTGAGAGACTCAAAATAATCTAAAGAAACATCAGATTCTTCTCTACAGTCACTTGTTTACTTGTTAGTTATTGTAGCAACGCTCTGCTCACATGTAAACGTTCCCCTATGACATCACTTCCTGTGTCTTCATATGTGATGATCTCAACAGCTGTTCACATTGATAGCGAGAAATTTGTTTTGCAACAAGTTATCAATGTTACATTTCCAAAAATGCATTCATAGGTACAAAAAATTATTTCACTTTAATGGTCTGATGAATAAACATGTTTTATTTTCTAATAAATAAATGTTAGCTGATGAGTTTGACATTTCTCTAACAGATGTCAGCTGATAATAACCAAAAAGTACACAGATCCTTTAAGTACTTTGTGTTTCTCTTCAGCTGATTGTGTATTTAAAAACATGTTTTACATCTGAACCCAGTAACCTCCTTTATTATTTCTTGAAACTGCTCTACTTTTCATGTTCTGTTTTTATTCCCTCCTTCCTGCTGCCTTCGTCCTCTTTGCTGCGCTCTCGTCCAGGCGACTGGCCTACAGGATGAAAATGGGCACGCTCCCCAATCCTAAATCTCCTAAAAAGCCGGCCTGTAAGTTTCTGCTTCTCTGGTTTCACTTCGTTTTCTGCATCTTTCCACGACTGCTCTTTTTACTAATAAACTCCTCACAGCACAATAATCTTAATGTAACATATTGGTATTGTTCTCGTTGGTTTATTGGTGGAGGCCTGTTTTTAAAGGGATGAGAGGGAGATGAAGAGTCACAGAGATGGAGGGAGGATTATGGATTAATCTCTTTCATGTTTAGTCCATCTGGCCAGCTGTAAGTTTCAGCTTAAGTAGATCCAGACAGGAAAAACAGCTGCTCACTGCCTGAACTGTACACCACTCTGCTCACCTGAGGAACATGGAAACATCCAGGTGAGAGGACAGAGGTCACGCGGTTAGAAGCAGGCCGGAGCTCAGCAAGGGGCGGGGTCAGCTCAGAACCTGGTCCTGACCGTCCTCCATCAACCAAACCTGCTCTGTGAATGTGTTTTAATCATTTCCTCTTTCTGCGTTCTGTCAGCTGAAGAAGGATGTGACAGAGGTGTGTACTCCTGCAACACACACACACACACACACACACACACACACACACACACACACACACGCGCACAC